TCTTGTTTCTCACAGTCTGAGAGTCCTTTAGGTGTTTTTTTGCAAATTCCAAGTGGGTTTTCATGTGACTTTTCTGAGGAGAGGATTGAGTCTGGCCATGCCGCCATAAAGCCCATATCTGTGGAGTGTTGCAGTGAAGTATCTCATATCTCCATATATGATCATAGAGCTCAACTAGAGTGGCCATCAGCTTCTTGGTCACCCTAACCAAGGCCCTTCTCCATCAATTGGCAATTGCTCAGTTTGGCCAGGAGGCCAGCTCTAGGAAGAGTCCTAGTTGTTCCAGACTTCTTCCATTATGGATAATGGAGGCTACATGCTTCTTTGAACTTTCAATGCAGCAGGATTTTTCTGAACTCATCCCCAGATCTGTGGCTTGACACAATCTTGTCTCTGAGCTCTACAGGCAGTTCTTTTGACCTCAGGGCTTGGTTTTTGCTCTGATATGCATTTTCAGCTGTTAGACCTTTTATTGAGAGGTGTGTGCCTTTCCAAATCATACCCATTCAATTGAATTTGCCACAGGTTAACTCCACTCAAAATGTAGTAACATCTACAAGCGATATGAATGCTCCTGAGCTAAATTTCAAGTGTCCCTGAAAAAGGTTTGAATAGTGTTTGAATCTTTATTTAGCTGCCTCTCTATAAAATCAGTCTGCCATCAAAATCAAACCAGATTGCTAAAAGCTGTTATTATACCAGAGAATGAATGATATATTTTAGTGTAGCCTGCATACATTTCTTGAAATTCTTTTTTGGAACAGCAGCTCTCTGTATGTTCACACAGGATGTTACATGTGGCACAAATGAAGTAACCAGAGCATAAACTTTGATTTCAAAGAGTGGCACAGTTCATCTCTCTTCAGTGGTTCACTGTATGTGCTGCATGACAACCATCACAAGGTGGCACCCTTGAGCATGTGTTGTATCCATCTTCATTATATTTATATTTACATTACATTTACATTTAGTCATTTAGCAGACGCTTTTATCCAAAGCGACTTACAAATGAGGACAATAAAAGCAGTCAAAACTAACAAAAGAGCAACAATATATTAGTGCAAATGACAAGTCTTGGTTAGCCTAACGCAATACACGTAGCAAGGTGTATATACAGGTGCATCTCAATAAATTAGAATGTCGTGGAAAAGTTCATTTATTTCAGTAATTCAACTGAAATTGTGAAACTCATGTATTAAATAAATTCAATGCACACAGACTGAAGTAGTTTAAGTCTTTGGTTCTTTTAATTGTGATGATTTTGGCTCACATTTAACAAAAACCCACCAATTCACTATCTCAACAAATTAGAATATGGTGACATGCCAATCAGCTAATCAACTCAATCTGAATGACAGAACCTAGTGATGCCATGTAGACAGAGAAGAGAAGTGGTCCAAGAACTGAGCCCTGAGGCACCCCAGTAGCTAGATGTTGCGACTTGGACACCTCACCCCTCCAAGATACCTTGAAGTACCTATCTAAGAGGTAAGACTCAAACCACTGGTGTGCGGGTTCCTGAGATGCCATTTTCCAATAGGGTTGACAGGAGAATCTGGTGGTTCACCGTATCAAAAGCAGCAGACAGATCCAGCAAAATAAGTATAGAAGATTTGGAAGCCAATAATAATTATATTATATAATAATAATAATAATAATAATAATAATAATTATATCCAGTAAAGCTTCCGGGCTGTAACACATTTATATATATATATTTTTTTTCATAATCTGAATTAAAATATGAAACTACCAAAATACAACCAGACTACAATGATCTTTTAATTTTAATTACAAATATATGTAAAATAAATATATTCATTTGTAGATAGATAGCCTAGCTAGATTGTAAGTAAAATATAAATCTCAAGTTGTTTTTTTTTATTGTGTGCTCTATTACATTCACTATGCATCATAGGGACTTCAGTAAACTTACCAAAAAATGTAATTGAATTTATTAAATTATTTGAATGAAATTGTATTTAAATAATCCGACTGTGAACATGCTAATTATATATGCAACATACTTCATCCTCTGAAGAAATATAAGGAACTTTATGAACCATTGGAATAGGAACAATATGAGCAATTGGAAACATGGCACAATTGTTTTTTATTATTTAAGTAACACTTGGGCGTAACCTCTTGGGCGGCAAGGAACAGCTGTCACAGGAACTTCTGGAACAACGATGACCAGTGACTGGGCATTTTGGGACAAGACGTGGAGGGCAGCTGAGTGAAGAAAAACTGGGGAAACTCTGTGTCTTAAACCAGTGGTTCCCAACCCTGGTCCTGGAGGCACCCCAACACTGCACGTTTTGCATGTCTCCTTAATCAAACACACCTGATTCAGGTCATCAGCTCATTAGTAGAGACCCTAAGACCTGAAATTTGTGTGTCAGAGAAAGTAGACATGCAAAATGAGCAGTGTTGGGGTGCCTTCAGGACGAGGGTTGGGAACCACTGTCTTAAACCATGAATGGAGAAGGATTTCATCCAATCCAATCCAATCTACCAGCTTGGATTCTGCTGCAGGAGACACTTAATCAGATGGCAGCATTCTGTGCAGAACAATGGTAGAGAAGAGATGGGAGTCAAGTTATAACCTTGAACTTTATACCTGCTGTCTTTATAATAAGCTGTAAGATTTGAAAATGAAAACCTCTTGGATCAGATATTACTTTTCCAGCCTTTTTTGTTCTCTTTTGAATGAATTTTACCATTTGCCACAACCGATCGCCACCAGCAGGTCATTGGTTTCTGGAAAGCACTCCCAGTGACCATATACTAGCAGGTTTCCCGTGGTACCTGCCCTCCATGTCCACTCAGGTGGGAAGTATGCTGGTGTGCCTGAAAGAATAACGAAAATATTTAACTAGTCACTACATTTAAATTCCTAAACTATAAGTTTGATGCATAATACATAACCCAGAATATGTCATATCCACATTCTCTCAGCAGATCCCCACACCTGAAGTCAATCAGTTTGTCCTCGTGCTGCTCAAAAAGTCCACCTTCACACAGTAAGAAACGTTCCAAGACCAGGATGTAGTGGTCAACCAGTGGTCAGGTTGGTCCTGCTGCCAGTCCAGCAGCCAAATGAACCCTGGAATGTTGGGGCCCATTTTAAGCAGAAATTAAAAGGCTGACCTCTAATGGAAGGGGTAAGGGATGAGCAGGCAAGAAAAAAAAATTATGATTGTTAAATGGAGGAGCTTTCTGAAATAAGGACAAATGTTTTATGTTTTAAATTTAAAGCTGTGAAAAAAAAAAACATTAGCGGGCATAGATGACTTACAATGATTATGTATTCCTTGTTCTTTAGCTTTCTGGCCATTTTCACTGGACAGATTGAGATAAAACAATTTGCTATAGTGAGTTAAATCAATTAAGTATTATTATCGTTACTATTTTAGTTGTTTATATTAACAATTTTTAGTCAAATGCAATAAAAAGTTTACATAATATATAAGTGGATTTGATATAGACAGAGGGAGATAAAATAATTTGCTATAGTGAAATAAAAAAATATTACTATTATTATTAAACAATTAACATTTATTTCTGAAATAAAACTATTTGCTAGCTAAATATTGTATGTAAAATAATGAAAATAATGATACCTCAAGACCATCCAAGTGTTTCCCTTCATAGACTGCGCCGTATCTTGAGGATCTCCGAGCATGGCTCAAAATGTCTATTAAAAGATAAATAATTTTAGTTAACATGAAATTTCAAACACTGACAGCGGTCTGTGCAAATGTCTGGGGTTATGGCAGTAAACCCACCCTCAACTGTCATGCCACTTTGTTAACTGAAGCTGGACTGACTGGTCCAGAAGGGGGTTGGAGCTGATTTGCAGGGGAAAGGACTTCAAGACCCCAGAAAGCTTGGTCCTCCACTTTCTGACCCAGACTCAGCTTCTCAAAACATTCCTTCCTTGTATCAGTAACTAATAACTTTTGCTTTATACTGACACGCCTCTAGGTGTCACAATACGACCACATCAAAATATTGAGCGAACCTTTTATGTATTGGCATCCCTAATAAATAATCTTGGCAAATGATCCACGCCTACTGTGAAGATCACAAAGAAAATGTGTTAATATACATTATGTTTAAACATATGTTTAATATGACTGAATCAACCTGCACTACTAATTTTAAGTGGTTAAAGTAGAAATAACGTATGCTAACAACTGCACAATATATTTTATTGTAAATTTGTAAAGTAACTATTAGTAATAATAGAACAGGCAGGTTGCCAAGTCTGTGGAACTGTTGCAGATGGTAAGTGGAAACATGTAATCTGGCTACTATTTTCTATGGAAACACTGAGGGAATTTACAACTGAAGTAGTATGTCCACAGAAATAACACAACCACAGTAATTCCAAGCAGGATAGATATAAATAAACAATCACAATAAATAAATAAAATAAAAATAAATAGATAATCAGTATATATTGCAATTTAAATAATGTAAAGAGTTTTAAGACACTCTTATTTCAGTGCTCCACGGATTAAAATAAATTATCAAGTCATTTTTAAATGCCACAAAACTTACAGAAACTTTAACAAATCTACATTTGTGTAAATAAAGCTTACCTAACCTATGGATAAGAAGCGGAACTGTATGCGTTTATATTACACAGACCTGGCAACCCACAGGCTATTCTGCAACAAAGAATCACACAAATAGCAGAATCGAATAAATTAATAATCTTTGTAAGCCATGCATATGGAACATTCAATATATTGGAACACCAAGCACTACAAAACAAATACAGACAAGTGTTGACTAAATCTGTTTTGACTAAAAATTACAATGATTATTATTATTATATGATATCTCAAGACCGTGAGCAATGGTTTTCTCTACGTTGCAGGACGATAGCCTGTACTGTAAGGAATGTATCTTTTTTTTTTTTTTGTCGGCCAACCTGCACTGAAAGCCAAGTGCAAAGTTAGCCCTCCCCTTTAATAGCCTTTTGCCCGAGCTCTGATAGCTACAAAGGGAGGACAGCGAGGAGGGAATATGAGGTAGATGGGACTTTACACGGGAATAATGGCGGCGCCGCTCCGGCGGGACACCTTACCTGAGAACTACTGTTATGGGGTGTGCAGCGACGGCAGGGTCTTTTTCATAAAGTGAGGATATATGTTTTATATGACATTAGAAAGAATTTCTTTCTCATACCGTTCGAGTGTTTCCCAGCCAATTGCATCGCTAACAGGTGGTTTGTTTTCCTGCCAGCGATGAGACGAGAAGCACTTCTTGGCTTCATCCCTGCACTGGTGAACCTGTCAATTCTGGACACATGATCCGATCCGGTAAATGCATTTATGCTTCCATTTAGCTTTAGAGATTTCAGTTTTTAAGTGTTATTTCGTGGTGCATACGCATTAAAGAATAAATTAATGCTAAAAGTTTCGCAAACGTGCTATTTTTCTTGCCTCCTAGATCTACCCACAGGTTGGGAGGAAGGATTTACGAAGGAAGGAGCGAGTTTCTTCATTGAGTAAGTGGATGTGTTTACAGTAATTACACCTCACTGCCGTCCTGTAGTGCGTCAGGTGAATTACAGGTCATAAGCGGGCTTAATATGGCTGTGCTAGTAGTCTTGCTCCTGACCAGGAAAGAATGAATAGTGAGAACTGTGCATGAGGGGTATCAAAGGTAAGAAACATGCATCGTTATTGTCTTTGAAGCCTGGCATTGAAGAACAAAGTCTTCAGAACAGAACAGGTGTACACGCCCCTTTCAATTTACAGTTGATGTCTCATGCTGGCTTGGTCTCAAAACCCGAGCTAATTCCACGAAATACTATTTAGATGAAGCTGAATGTCTTTCAAGGATGCTTTATGCACACACAGTAAGAGCTTAAGTGTTGAAAATGGTAGAAACTAAAGTTTCAAATACTTGTGCGCTGTATACCTACAAATATCTTAAGTGTAAGATTTTTGTTATACTGTGTACATGCATTATGAATATGTAAGTTATTTTGACCTTCTGCTATTGCATGTCTGAAGGCATTTGCGGCATTGGTTCTTATGCAGGTGTTTGTTTGCAGCAGTCGAACAGATTTAGTGATACGTTATAGATCAGTCAGTGGTTCTCGCTAATGTGGATTCCTATTGAAATGACTGCATTTATTTTTGGCCGAAAATTCCCCTCCCCATTGTTCAACACAATTTTCAAAGGCCGCCCATAGAAGGTAAGATAGTTCCTTCAGTATTTCTGCTATAATTATGAATAACTATGCTATAATTATTTTATAAACAAAAGTTAAAGATTAATTAATAATAATATGAATTTCATTAATATGAATTTTTATAATTTTAAGTCATCCTGCAGCCTTCTTGGAAGTTTGCTGAGGCCCTCTAGTCCAGTCCTCTGATTGAGAACCTCTTCTATAGACTGACTTGGCCATAGCAGTGCATCTCGAAAGAAAAAAAACCTAAAATTATAGTCTCTTTTTTGGATGTTTGTGTTGGTATTGAGCCCTCATCTCATATTCGGATCTGTGCGAGGTGTGTGTTTAATCTGGCTTGTAGTACTCCACATTTGAATCTCAATCTCTTCCAGTGATTTCTCATATCCTCAGATTTGGCTCAGGGTCTAAGGATGTGTGGAAGAAATCTCTGAATAAACATAGTTGGAGTCACTGTCAGGCTGTCTAGATTTTAACTCATGAAGTGCTGATTTGGGGATGAATTTGGCATTAAGCTGAAGGTCACATCAGCACAGATGCAAAGATGATGATCATATACTTGCAGTCGGAGCTGTGATCTTGAATATGAAAGAGCAAAAGACAGTCAGATAACGCCTTTGTCTGCAGGACTGTATGTATTTGCTAACAAATCCAAAATGCATCATATGACATTCACGTGCCAGTCTGTTTGAGGATCTTGCATGGGTGGAGCCTGTTTGATTAAAGACAAACAGGATGCAGTAGTGACTTCCTACTGTAGCTCACCTGACTGGCTCTGGATAGTGTGACTTTTAATGTGATTAGGGAACACAAAGCTGAATGAAACTAAAAGACACAGGGGTTGGACAAAATAATGCAAGCACGCATTATTATAGGGGTTAATATCATTTTGTGTAGGCTTAAATAAATAAAACATTTTTTTGCAATTATCATTGATTTATCTTTTCGTTACTCTCTGGGTTGTCTTTCAGTATATGTATTCAGCAGTGTTTAGTACAAGCCGTGAGTGAAATGGGTGACTTCTCAGACTTCCAAAAAAGGCAAATCATGGGAACCCATTTAGCAGGAGCTTCTCTAACCTTAACAGCCAAATTGTTTAGTGTTTTAAGAACAACAGTCTTTATGATTATGGCTGTGCAAACAAAGCATGGCAAGACTTTATCTGCACAGCAGAATAGCGGGTGAAAACTGAAAGTGAATGACAGGGTCCATCGATCATTAAGAAGGATTGTGTTCAAACAACACAGAACTTCTGTACAGCAAAGCTCAGTATTCACATCGAAGACCCTGTTTCCACAAAAAGCGACAACAGAGAACTTCACAAAGCCAACATCCACGAAAGAGCTGCAATTGAAAAACATGGTGTCATGATCATAAAGCTTGCACAGTTGGAGCACCAAGATGGACTTCAACATCTGCCCTGGCCAATACCTGTCAAACCACTGTGGGCAGTTTTAGAGAGAAGAGTGAAAAGCCAATTCCCTCTCCTCCAATATCTCTGAAGAAACTTTTTCTGAGATTTTCTGATAGACAACATTCAACTGGAGGCTATACAGAAGTTGTATGAATCTATTCTAAGAAGGTTGGAAGATGTGTTAAAGGAAAATAAAGAAATGTTGCCTGTTTCCCAGGTGTTCACATTATTTTGTCCAACCTTTACCTGTGGATTGCAATAAATATAAACTGATTGAACATTTTCAATTTAATTTTCATTAAAAGCATGGGCCCACCTTTCAAGCAGGGACCAGAATATGTTGTGGCAGTATTTCTTTATCCTTTTATAAATTTTTTAACCTCTCATGATCCCAGACCCAACAGAAAATTAATCTAACAAACATTCAAGGGGTTGAATCAGGTTCATGGCAGAGAATTGAAACATTATGATCATATTTTCAAAAGCTAGGGCTAGTTATACAGGCCGCCAATGACATTATGACATTCGGGCATCCAGCAGCAGGAGTTGTGCAATAAAGAGGAAATAAACTTGTGATCCTCTGGATCAAGTAAATATTTAACTTTAATAAGTTGCTGAAAGTGAGCTGTATTCTTTATGAGGGAATGCTGGCTTTACTCAGGGTTTGACATAGATTTAATATGTATTGTGACTGATGATCTGCCTATCTGCCGATTATTGTGGGGCTGAGAGATGGGCTCTGAAAAATGCTGGCAGCACTTGATGAAGCACATCTGATGCCTATTGTGCCTTGTCACTGCTGCCATAAATCCAGTGTTGTAACTTTCCTTGGGGGAAGAGGAGTCCCTAGTTACAATGTGATATTGAATATATATATATATATATATATAT